GCACTACCGCGGCGGTGGCGGGGCAGAGCCGCGGGTCCGGCCTCGCCTCCTCCTCCGCCACCGCCTCCTGTCAACAGCTCAGCCACTGCGGTGACTCGGCAACTCCACTTCCGGGTCCGGGCACCGCCCGAATGTGCATTATTCATGAGGGGGCGGTATCTGGACGCCCCAGCCCCTCCCACATGCAGGGGTTACTAATGCGCGCGGCCGCGGGTCCTGTCATTCTGAGGGGGCGGGACTTAGTGGAGCTGGGTTTCCTCGCACGCCCTGCCCGGCTACCCGCTGAAGCCGTTAGGGGGCGTCTGAAGCGCCTGCGCGCTGGCTGCCGGTTGGTTGCTAGGTAATCGCGTCCGGGAGGAGCCAATTCCCTCCGGCAAAGGTGCGGAGACCCACAGCGACGGCTGTCCCCCAAAGAACCCCTGGGACTGGGAATTGAAGTGAAAGAGAATCCGGATTTCCCGTGCGTGATCGAGGGGACGGACAAACTTCTTGTCTTCAGGAAAGGGAGCGTTTTGTAGACGCCCCAAGTGTTCAGGTGCTACCTGCTTCTTTGAAGATGCCTCACAAACCGCAGCCACGAAAGCCGGTAACACTCCAACTTGCCCTCTAGAGAAGAACTCTGACCTTCACCGCCAATGACTACTGATCATACCTCTCCTACTGATCCTTCATCTTCCTTTCCCTCTTGACCCCTAACCTTCTCTCTCCTTGTGACCCCTGGCCTGTGTCCCCACAGGATCCCTGACCCTTTCCTGTTCTCTCCTACTAATCCTAGCCACCTCTCCCACACCGCCACTGATCCACTGTTTCCTACATTTCACTTGTCCTCCCTCACCATTCCATTACCTCACTCCACTCCACTGACCCATCCTGACCAGCCCATCCTCCTTAACTCCCCACCCCCACTCCCACTACCCGGTCAACATGTACAACTACTGCCCTCACATTCGTGTCCCAAAGAAATTATTTTTCCAGCACTTTGCTGTGTGAGCCAGTGCTGGGCTAAGTGTGGACACAGACCTTTGGGAGCCCACAAAGGGAGTACAGAACTGTACAGGAGACACAGGACGGATTATGCGCCAGAGTTTGGTTTAGATTTTCTGTGCCGGGAGACTTGTGAAGAGAGACAGGTCAGGTAAAGAGAAAGAGGAGAGAGACCTCTTTCCCATCCCTGTCCCCATTCACACATCGCACACCCCAAACATTTCCCCCCAACTATTTCTGGAGCCTCGTGTGTCTCTCTTCCTTGTGAGCCCCTGGTCCACTCCTGTGACTCATCCAGCCGTGTCAACTTTGTGTTCTTGTTGCCACCTGGCCAGATGTCATCCCTTCTCACAGGAAACCCAAGAGTCACCCCCCTTACCCACTCAGCACAGAGAGCTTTCCTCCCCAGCATCACCTAGAAGGTGAGGTAAGGCCCCGCTTCTCCAGGAGCCCTCTGTGGTGAAGGTACTCAGTCCTTCAAGAATCACTTTTCCCACCTGGCCAGCATAGCTCAGTGGTTGAGCGTTGAACTATGAGCCAGGAGGACACGTTCGATTCCTGGTCAGGCCATCTGCCTGGGTTGTGGGTTTGATCCGCAGTGCGGGGCACAGCCAATCGATGATTCTCTTTCATCATTGATGTTTCTATCTCTCACTCCATCTCCCTTCCTCTCTGAAATCAATAAAATATATTTTTAAAAATCACTTTTCCCAAGCCTTTTATGAATTAACACCCTGGGACTAATATGCAGTTTCTGGCTCTGTGAGGCAGGACTTCTATTTATTTACTTATTCTAAATTTCCCTCACTCATTCCTAGGTATTTTGAGGTTTGGAGAGAAAATATTTGTCCATACTGTATTTTGGTCTGGCCTCCTCCATATTAGTCTTTGTTCCTTTCACCTGGGCTTGCATAGCAGATGGACTCATATTTCTTAGATCTCTGCAACCATGAGGAGGCTGGTTTTCCCATATGGCCATGCCCTAGTTTTATGTTGGGGTTGAACTTTTTAAAAAAAAATGTATTTTTATTGATTTCAGAGAGGAAGGGAGAGGGGGAGAGGGATAGAAACATCAATGATGATAGAAAATCATCGATTGACTGCATCCTGCATGCCTCCTACTGGGGATCGAGCCTGCAACCTGGGCATGTGCCCTTGGTTGGGATTGACCCCCCCGGACCCTTCAGTCCACAGGCCAATGCTCTATCCACTGAACCAAACCGGTTAGGGCTGAACTTTTGTTTCGAAGCTCATATATGTATTGTGTTTGGGCCTACTTATTGTTTTTTAATTTATTTATTTATTGACAGTATTATAGATATCCCCCATCATTCCCCCTTCCCCCCCTCCACACAGCCCTCACCCTACCCCAGGCCTTCCCCACACTATTGTCTGGGTCCAGATTGTTTTAAGTTCAGCATTACCGAGGTCTGGTTTACATACAATAAAATGGACCATTTTAGTTGTCCATGTTGACAAGGTTTGACAAATTTGTACATTTGTGAACCACCACTACAATAAAGATATAGGACACTTCCTCTACCCAGATAAGTTCCCCTGTGCCTCATCCCAGTCAGTTCTCCTGAACCCCCCACCCCAGATAACCACTGATCTGCTTTCTGTCACTACAGGTTAGATTTGTCTTTTCTAGCACTTGCGGTTCGAACAAGCTTGGGATGAGTTTTTATAAAAGCCCATTAGGGAAGACATTAGAGGCTAATTACACTGAGAGCAGAGAGAAGTGGCTGCAGACAGGAAGCAGAGAAACCTAGGTTACCTGGCCCTGCACACACCAGTGCTTCCCCCTCCCCCCACCCCCCAAGGATTGTTTTAGTGCAATGTAAATATTGGTGGGTGGGGCGTGAGAAAAGGCTGGGTTGTGCAAGGTTGTATTATTCATCACCTTGTTTCACTGAGGAGGGAGACATGCAGGTTGGAGCAGTAGAAAAGCTTCAGGGAGGAGGCAGCTATGACTTGGATGCCTGCAGTGGAGAGGGAAGATCAGTGTTGGGTTTGTTAGGGGATAGAAAAGTGTTTAGACTACACTGTTCTTGTTGCTCCACTGAGCAGACCTTGCAGTAGCTCCCTCTTGCTCTTAGGAAAAAGTCCCAAAAGTCCAACTTGCTTTGTATGGTCTGCAAGACCTTGCAAGGTTTAGCCTTTGCTACCTACCCTACTTCAGATCTCACCATTGCTCTGTGAAAATTCCACAGCCACAGCACACTGAATTGCCCTCACTTCCTGGAAAGTGCCATCCACACTCTTTCTCCTCTCGGCCTTTGAAAATGCTGTTTCCTCTGCCTGCCTGCCTGCCTGGTACCATCTTTTCTGTCTGTTACCACCTGCTCCATGCCACCGTGCCCCAAATCTCTCCTTTATCTCCTCTTCATATATCAGGTCTCAGGTTTGCCACCCTATTCCCTTACAAGGGATTCAGTACCCTTTCAGGAGGCAGGATCGGGTAATATCCCCCCTGGAATATAAACTCTGTGATGACAAGGATCATGTTTGTCTTGTTCATGTTGATTCTCCTGAACCTAACACAATGCCTGGAATATATTAACTTCTGAAAATGAGTTAATTTGGAAAATTTGGAAACCATTCTTTGGAAATTTTGCTCTGAGTGTTTGAAGGATGGGAAGGGATGAACCTGGGATGGGGAGACAAGTGGGGAGGGATAACAAGGAAATGTCACAGTAGAAGCATGTTTTTCCAGGTTCATGTTAATATCTGCTTTGACAGGGCTATGAATGATTCATATTTGAACCACATATACCCATGCCTTAAAAGCTGGGTATTGGAGATTAAGAGATCAGAAATTCTGATGATAGATAGCCATTCTCCTTTAACAATTATTTGTTGAGTGCTGCTATATACAAGGTACCATTCTAGGTATTAGTAATAGAGCAACGAACAAAAGAATCAAAAACCCCTGCTTTCATGGATCTTAACTTTTAGGAGGTAAGTTGTCAATAAACAGATAAGTAAAATATAAAGTTTGTCAGATGGTGTGGTAGGTGTCAAGAAGAAAAATAAAACAGGAAAATAGACTAGGAAGTTCAGGGATTCGGAAGATTATGATTTAAATATAGTGGTCAGGGAAGGCCTCATACATGTGACATTTGAGAAAGAACGGAAGGAAATTAAAGAGTTAGCTATGTGGTATCTGGGGGGAAAGCATCCCAGACGAAAGCCACAGCAAGTGTAAAGAACCTGAGATAGGAGCTTGCTACAC